ATAAGGGAACAATGCAGGGAGTAACAATGAGAACAGAAATGGCATGAACGCAAATTTTCCTAGCTCGATACAGACACATTAGACACGCTACATCCTGGTTTATGGGGCTGTAATCTGGGCGTGGAAAGTGTTAGACGATCTACATCTTACACAAGAGACGACTCCCATGTGTGTCTGGAGATTATAAAAGCAAGCCAGACTCTAAAAAGAAGTCCCGACTGTTCGAGTACTGTAGGTTTGACACAGATATCACACACAGCTGTTGTTTGGATTATTGGTCCCTTAACTCTTTTCAGGAAACCACCTGATGAGTCCATCTGTAAAGTCACAAGTCAAAGTTTGGTGTAAGCAAAGCGCTAAATACACACCATGTGAGCAATAAACGAATGCTAACAAGCTCTATATTAACCCTCGAACACTATCGCTAAAATTAGTAACACCATCACTGATTTTTACCCCAAATAATATACCAACGAAAAAGTACTTGTCATCAAAATATATCAAAATAGGACAATACATGACATTAAAGTAGTTTTCTTCTGTTTTTAACTGGGAGGGGAAAAAAGTGCCATGAGGGGACCGTATAAAATGCAACAGAATAACTGAAATTAGGCATTCATGAACAAAAAATTCCTATTAAAAACAAAATATAGAAACTGTAAGCTTAGTTTCTTTTCCACCCATTACTGGGGTATGTGAGTCTTCTCAGGTGAAGAATCAGGGTTCTTGGCACAATAACAGCTGCAGGAGAAAGAACCAAAATGTGGCATATTTTGAGTAAAAATGACCAGCTTACTGAAATAGTTCTTATCACCATATGAATTCCCTTCAAAATCACTACTTTGTTATAGTTATTCAAAACCATTGCGCTAAATAAAGATAGCATGCAAATTCCAGGACCACTCTTACTGACCTTATTCGCCTGCTAGCAGCTATCAGATCTACCCAAACTTACTTTACCCTCTATCACTATCACTAAAAGCAGGTTTTGGATCAGGAAAACAAATTTGCCTTCAAAGATGTCAAAGGTAATGCTGAAGCTACCCAGGGACCCATGATACTCAGACAAACATAATGAAAATTACATAAACATGTTTGGTCGGGTGAAAATCACCCGGCGATAGTGTTCTAGGGTTTAAAAAAAAGGGTTTTAGTCGTGAAATATGGAGGTGTGAGCCAGCGGGATCGTACCTATGTGAGTGACGTGGATAAAAGTAGAAAGTGTCAATAAAAACAGCGCTTTACATCGAGTTGAACTAAGCTGCTTCATGCTAAGTTTGCTCCATTCCAGCACTATCAGGCTAATTTTACTGCTGGTGGGCGAGTTGACTGCCCTTGAGCTCAAATCTCAGCTAGCTTTCTTTCAGTGCTTGGGCATTGCTTAGACATACTTGAGCTTGAGCCTCAGCGTCTGGATACTGTAGCTGTCATCAGCCCGCGCCCATAAATATAAGAAATGAGTCTTAAACTGCATGTTTCTCCAAGAAAGTCCAGTCGTGCGTCTTCATCTTTGACATATACTTTTCACTCCACAGCCCTGTTTTTCCGGCCCTGACAACCTCATACATCTCCGGCTGCGTGCACGTGATGAAGTCATCGGGTGATGTATGTGCCTGCTGTGTGAGGAAAAGCATTTTGCATGCTTGCAGCCCCGGGGAATTTACCGCAGCTTGTATGACACTGTCTTGCTTCCAGTGATACTCTGGTTTTTCAATGATGCAGTCAGACTCACAGAGGGCTTTTTGTTACAGTCAGCCGCTACAGCACCTACTTTTTCACCGAGATGTCATGACAGTCAAGGACTCTAGTCTGGCTTGTTTTTCTGAGAGGAAACTCTGCTTTCATGCTGGAAATGTGAAGAGCTGAATGATACCACTGTGTGAATTTAAACATTTACATGGTTTATGTATTTATCAAGTTTCTTCTCTTTGTTTATGCAACTTTGAGGAGGTGTGTAACTCAGCTGTGATTGGCCCAATCTTTGAGGTAACTTTAGGTCAATATGCAAAAACTCTCCTGACTCATTGATTCTTTACATCCAGCAGAAGTGTTTGATTTATTTGCCATAGTTTGGCAACTTTTGATACATTTAGTTAAGTGCCTTGAAGCTTTTGAAAATTCAGTTTGAAATCATAAAAAGAAAAAAAAGAAAAGTCCCTCATGCATTAAAAAAAAGAAAGAAAACAGGCTTCTTCATCTATCAAAGTCGAATCAAGCTTACTCATCGTCGGCTATGAGTCATCTGAAAAGACGAAGGCTAAGCCGACGACTGAAGCTATTATCTTCACCCGAATTTCTGCGTCAATAGACCTTCCTGTCCCTTCTTTGGTTAACTAGGTCATTTAAGATAATAAACAAGTGATGAGTCCAGATGAGAAGAAGAACAAACCTTTCACAACCCATGAAAATATAAAACATATAATCCTCTGTAAAGTAGGGGCTTTGTTTGTGGTTTTTTTAAGGGGTTGGTCTCCAGACATGTCTTTGTGTCGCTCATGGAAAAAGCTTTTGTTTGAGAGCGCAAACCCAACATGTTATTTGAGCGGCTTTGACTGAGTATTACAGATGAGGAAACTCAAGTCTTATAAAAAACTCACCTGTGCAATCATAACGATAGACCACAGGTGAGCTAAATTAGGTCAGATTAAAATGGCCACAATATTAAAGATCCTCATAGTCGTACTAACTTCCTTACCTTTGGAAAACTTCTGAGCTGTTCCCATGATTACAAATCCTTGAATATAAACACATACATGTGCCTGGAATTAAGCTGTTGACACCACAGGTGCTAAAGGCCACATCTGATTTTTGTTAAGACCAAGTTTAAACCCGCTTCGACCTACATCTCATTTCTGTATTTACTCAAGATCTCTTAAGTTGAACATAGAAACAACCTTTGTGTACAGAGGCAACCGAATAAGCATTACCTAGGCGGTGAAATTACCATCATTGGATACTAATTTAAGCTGTTTATTTACATATAATTGTAATTTCAGGGTATTTTCTTCATAGCAGACTGCAGAAATTGCTGCTTTTACAAGAAGCTTTCCAGTCCATCACATCAGGGATCATTTGAGAAAAAGACACCCAGGGAGTGGTTACTAACTCACTTCGTCTGAATAAACAGAAAACGCTTCTTCAGTTCCATTTGCATTTATTCTAAAGGGAAAATATAGAATTCAATAAATATTGCGGTAACAACATCGGCAAAGACATTTGAAGGTGACGTCAACATTCAAGAAAACATGATAATTCACACAGAGAGTGATAACAGGTCAGAAAATGAACGAATGAACATTTCATCAAGCGAATCGGGAAGTTTGAAAGTAACATTAAAAGTGCATCAATACCTTTGATATTCAAACAGCTTCTGAATTGCACTGTTGGAGAACCACACTTTGGAAAATCTCACCAGATTGACACCTACTTGTTTTTTAACATCATGACAACGTAACACTGCAATGGCGAAAACTCAAATATGAAACTATAAGGGGGAAAGTGAAGTGATTTGTTTAGTTAGCGGCCTGGTCACACCAGAAAGAAGAGACTTTAAAATCTGCTCTGGTTAAGCTAAACTTTTGGTTTGTGAAGACTTTGGCGCCCCCTGTGGACAAAGTAGTTTACGCAGATTTTGAGTATTTGAAATCTTAGCAACGGGAAACATATAAAAAGGAAGCATTCATCAATTCCTTTGCCCCTTTCTGGTTTCAGGCATCAAAATTTACTATAACCAAACAGTTGCCCCTCTACGTTTGCTCTTTTAAGTCACAATAATACATTTTATAAATTTTCAATCAATTTAAGTTGAACCTAAAATTGTTTCAAGCATCTTTCTACTTTAAATAAAAAACATGGCTGAAAACTTAAAGAATTATCAAAAACATGATTCAATTTTTGGAATATTTCAAGTTACATTACTAGCTTTATGCTAACTAATGAAAAATGCACTTTTTTAAACAGTATTTTTGTGGCAGCTTTCATCTACTTGGCTGCAAATTTTTTGAGTAAGTCCCATTTTTTTCACTTCTCTTGGTTTATCTATCGAAGTAGTTTAAATATACTTGGATGAAAGCGACTACAGGCCCTTCAGTTTCAGTTCCACATGAAATAGCTGTGGTTTGCCGGTGCGACCAGGCCGTTTAAGAATTTCATGGATTTCCAACACTTCATATTCTCTAAAACTTTTGTTTTGACTTCCTCTCTCTCCTTAAAGTGCAGCAAAAAGATGAGTCACGGCTCAAACTGTCTCAGCCTGTCAGGATTCTCATTTTACACCATTTCTAAATGTTATGCTTTCGACTGACGGTCAATCACAGCTCTTTCCGTCCATTAAAAGGTTTTTTTTTAAAAACAAACAAACGTATTATCCAATTTTCTCCTCGGTGAAAATGGTAAAAACGCTTAATTGCATTTGTTTATCACAAGGAGCTGCTGCAGAAATCCTCGAGGCTGAAACAGCTTTGAGCCGGTTTGCTTCCGACTCTCTTGCAGAACACGGAGGCGCTCGTAAAGCTGTCAGTGTCGAGAGCTGTTAGGATAATCTGCCTGTCGAGAGTCATTATAGACCCATAAGAGTTGAGGTGAAATATACAGGCAGAGAGGGCGGCTGTCTGACTGCGGACGTGCGGGGACTCTGCTGTGAACAGGATGAAGCTAAAATAAAACAGTGATGTAATTACACACCAATGACTTCACATTATACCGACAACATATCAGAGACAGGGGACGAAGCATCAAGTTTTTTTGGGCGCAGGACTGAAAAAATCTAATCTCTGCACGCAGACTAACAGTTCGAGGAGTAGAGGCGAGAGTGAATCACTTCAAAACTACGGTGACGAGTTTTTGTTTAAGCCCTCTGAGCAAAAGAAAGTCTTTGATCCAGCACAAACAAAACACCCTCCTCCTTTTTACTCCAGGCGGCGAACCCCCATCACCACCTTTGGCTCCCGTTCAAGGATCACCCTTCCTTTCAAAAAATGAGCATGACATCACTCTTCTGCTCATTTCCCGTCGGCGTGGAAAGCCTCGATCGTATCCGCTTTGTCCTCCCACAGGAAGCGGGTCACTTCCACTTCCTCGTCCTTGCAGGTAGCCCACTGACAGATAGCTTCCTCGTCTGGTGGGGCAGGGGGGCCACATGGATTGGGATGCTACTATGCATTGAGTTTTCATTGGTGTCGAGTATTCCAGTAACATGTACATTTATGAATTGAAGCTTATAAACCCCTTCTCTGGGCACATACGGGGTCTTTAGCATGCAGGAGAGAGCCTCGCTCAACAGCTTCCTGCTTGCACTGTGCTCTGTCCTCGTTCTCCGTTTAATCCCCCTCAGTCTGATCAGTCACATGACTGAGCAACTTTTGGCTTTGTCCTTACGGAGGTCCGAGGCCACCGCCGCCAAGTCAGGCCTCCCGGGCATGTGTGAAATCCTTTTGTTTCCGCGGGTGGTCTTCCCGCGCTTGACGTTTTTGTTGTTTTTGTTGATGCAGGCCAGCGTGGCCACGTGGAAAATGTCTCTGACGCTGTTCTCCGACTGCTGCGCCGAGCACTCGATGTAGGGCGCCGAGATCTGCTTGGCCATGCTGGAACCCTGAGAGGGGGGGAGGAGAGGTCAAACACGGTCACAGTCGGATGAAGCGGCTTAAGGCGGGCGAGGTTAGCAAGCGGTTAACGCATTTTTTCAGCGCTCACGTCGATAAAGACGAGAGGATTTCCGATCTTAAGAATCAGTACGGCGCGCTTAAAGTTGAGCACAATGAGGAATTATTCATGAATTATTTCAGTCACTAAACTTCTTAACTCGCTAAACTTTTCATTCAAAGTATTTCTTGTGTCGAGAGTGTGAGGCACACATACCTGGTCATAGGAGACTGGTGTTTGTCTGTGGTTGGAAAGCTCCACTAGTGTGCTCAGGTCAGTGCGCAGGTCTGACTTACACCCGACAAGCAGCATCTTTGTGTTGGGGCAGAACTCCTGGATCTCGCCTTTCCACTGTTGAGAGAGGGAAAGCGCAAAATGAAGCAACAATCGAAGAAAATAAGGTAAGATATGACCAGAAGATCAATAATCGGCTCATGAATAAATCACGTTTCAACCACGATAGGATGTAAAAATATGCAAACTGGTTAGATCAACCTGGCGTAACATCCCTTGAGTGCTTCCCCCCCTTCTTTTCTGCCCTTTAAGTACAAAGGTTACAGCTGCCACTTCCTGGAGCCCCTCACGCTTTGAACCCTGGAAAGGAACTACAAATAATCCCTGTGTATCCGTCCTGACAACAATAAATGCTCTGTGATCAATGGCCTTTCTCCTGGGGATTTAATCCGAGGCGAATGTGCCTCCGGGCTGGCTGGTCAGGGGATCAAGTTCATCGCAATCCGAAGAGGAAGTCGTTGGGTACAGTGTGTCTATCATTACGTGACCTTACGCTTGGCCCAGAGCTAATTCTTATCAAGACGTTTATTGTTTGATACAAGGTTAGGGAGCACGCATGTTGGTTTTATCCAATCACAATGCGGCTTGTAAACAGAGGGCTAAAATCACTAAACATCTCACTCCTTCGAAACTGTACGACTGACATAACCTGTCCTCACTCGTTTTTAGTAGTAGTGCTTGGATTTATGGATTCCATCAAAGTCTCGCACTAGTCAGATGACTGAACGCTGCATGTCTCCCTTTATGATCAGTGTACACTCTAACATGTGGAAGTCAGCCAGCACGACCACAGTCATCCGGTTCAAACCACCGACCGACCGCTCCATGTGAGAAAACTACAGGCTGCGTGAGTTTAAAGGTCTGCAGAGCTTCACTTCTCCTTTCAGGACCGCTCTTGGGTTTTAACCCGACGACCTACCAGTCACACTACAAGCTCTATAATACACATCACAAGATCGAATGTGACCGAGACTACAAAGAAATATCGACTGGAGACTTTTGATCCATATAATAGTCAAACAAAAGCAAGGATTTAAGATTTGGAGAACGTGCGGTTAAAAGGTAAAGACTTTGACATAATCGTATCAAAGAGAAGTCGTTAATGTTTCTTTATGAGCGATTGAAGGACACAGAAACATACCTTCTTGAGGACACTATCAAGTGTTTCAGGGCGGCTGATGTCGAAGCAGATGAGGACGGCATCAGAGTCGGGATAGGAGAGAGGCCTCACGTTGTCGTAGTATGGAGATCCTGTAAAGACAGAAAACACAAAACCAGGTTTCACACAGGCTGCAAAAGTTCTGCTATTTCTAAATAATATTACTCAGTATAAAAAAATCATCTACAGTACATAATTAATGTCAGTACTAAAAGGTATAAGGCTGAAAACAACTACTGCATCTCCAGGCCTCTTAGGTGGCACTGCTTTAAAAACAGGCATGACTCTGCGGTGGAAATAACAACATGGGTTTAAAACACTCAAAAATCAAAAATCGATATCCTGAGAATAAAGTTTGTCACTAGATCTACAAAAGCAGATTCAAACTGAAACGCGCGAAGAAGAAACCATAAACATGATGGACGTGGGTGAAGTGGACTACAAATCCATATCTGACGTTCTTCTTGGAATTCTTGGATGCAACGACCTCCACTCTTACACGGAAATGGACCACCAGGCTTGACAGCAACGAAGTTCAAAAAGCCAGTGACCCCCTTGAACTGAAGTTATAAACTAACTTGTTGTTTCGCAAAATCAAAATCTGAAATTCCTTTTGGAAATCTTGGATGCAACGACCTCCATTCCCAAACAGAACGGGACCACCAGGCTTAATATCAACAACTATTTTCACTTGAGTATAAAATTTAAATGGTTTCTTCTACCGTTTGAGGAACGGAGGTTGCAGATTCTTTGGCGGTATAAAACAGGGAAGTCAAGATCAACCAGACAGGCTTGTTCCAGTTTATCCGATTTGATTTGAGATGGCCCTTAAGAAATTACAGAAAGCTAACTCCTCATGACTGCCAGCTGAGGTTCATGGGAAAGACTTTGCTTTAACAGAAACTAGACAGCTTCTGCTGAAGAGGACAGATATTCTGACGCAGATTTTGGGATATTTGTAGTAACGTTTTTATCAAGAAGGCGAAAAATCCCCTCTTAAAATCCTGAATTGTGGTTTCAGTGAAAAGGAAATACCTTGAGAGTTAGTGACCAAGTCTAGGGAAAACCACAGACATTTCTTCTTGGAGGTGTGAGCTCGGCCAAATCATCACTTTAAACTCTTAAGTGTTCCTGACAGTTATTCTCATACGGCCTGATTGCAGCACAGCCATAATCCATGGCAACCGGGCGAGAAAAACACAAATAATGCAGAATCAGTACAAAAAATGTGCTGACTATAACAAGTTTGCATGTTGAAGAAATCCTCGCCGGAGAAACAGAGAAACTTCAGAGCGAGGGAAATGACTCCCCCCTCCACCAAATTGAAACCATGTGTGAGGGAGACGCCCATCTCTCCGCCAGACTCAAACATCTCCGGAGAGGAAGGGGGAGGGCGGCGTCATGTCAAGGTGAGTCAAGATCACATTACAAGAGCTGACCACACACAACCGGCTGCCAAAAAATCTGGAGAATTTTGTTTTTGGTAACTGAAGGTTCCCCTGGGAGGTCCTTTTCTAAACACACACACACTGCTGCGGAGAAAAGGCAGGAATTCGACTGTCACACACACCAAAGGGTCTAGTTTACCTAATCTAAACAGTCTGTATTGGAGACGACACTGTTTAAACAATCGTCTCTTCCCCTCCAGGCGCAGGGCTTGCACAACAAAGCATGACACCAGCTGATGTGTGCACAATAAATGTTGAAACCTGAACCATATCTGTGTCCGTTTTCAGATTTTCCCAGTGCTTAAGCCAGGATTTACTGGAGGAAGGTCAGATCGGCTGATTTGGACTTATCTCCAGGACTGTGAAAACTGTACAACCATTGAGCGCTTTTAAAAGATCCATTAACAGGTTTATCGAGTTAGGTACTTATAAGGTAAAAGCCTCCTGTTGTTCCTGGTCTTTGTATGTGGGTGGAAAGTTTCCCAAATCTATGCAAACTCGCTTGTGTGAATGTGTGACTACAGGAAAAACAGATGCAAACTTTCACAGAACCTGGGCAAATCTCAGTCATTCAGAAGAAGCTTTTGCACCTTTCTCATGCTTGTATTGATTTGAAGCAGAAAAGAGTGCAAGCTAGTCGAAATTGGTTATTTTGCATGTTGTTGCTAAATTTTGATTAATCCACAGATCTGTTAAAGGTGGTCTACAGACAAAATCGTCTTCCTGCAGCTGTTTGTCAATACTTACTTGCCACAGAGAAACTTTACAGCCAAGTTTTTAGCTAGTTACTCATAGGACCTACAAATGCAAGCACGACCATTAGCAAGAAGACGAATAGTCTCTATAGTAGGGCCTGATTTCTGTTTTGGGCCAAAACTCGCAGATTTTTCGCCGATATTTTCAGAAATAAAATGCAGAGAATAAGATTCGGTTTCACTTCGAAAATGTTCCACCATTTGAAAAGTTCCTCGACTTATCCTGTAGATGGCGCAGCGACCTCATGACAGTCTTCATCCACTAACTACCTCACAGCACAGCAGAGTGACGATCTGAAGCAGGCAGCTCAGGGACGCACAGAGGAGAGTGGTCCGCCTCAACGGTAAATAAACCAGTTTGTGAAATACACAATAAGTCAACAAGTTTCAGTTCAACCCACTTCACGATGTTCCCCGCTGTGCTGGTCTCGGTCACACCGAGTTAACAGTGAAGCACTGTGTAATATGCAAGCTAAAGTTAGAGTTAGCCATCTGCTATTAGCCTTGCTGCACTGTTAGCCGTGTCAGTAACCGTAGAATAAACAACAGTACACATTACATGATCGAGCTACTTCTCTTACTGAGCCAGCTGCATGTCTCCAGATGAGACCGGACCGGAAATAAGTAAAGTGAGTGAAGACGCGGAGGCACCGATTGGTCGGGGGGTAGTATGTGGTACGTGGAATATTACTGTCGGCATGAAGGGCAGTAGCCCTAGCAATAGCACTTAACTGTTTGCACTTTACACAAAACACCTCATTCTTTTGCAGTTGTTTTTTTATTGTTTGTTTTAAAGGAATGTGAGAGATGAGGGTGTTGAGCAAAAGAGTTGGAAGTTAGCTTAACTGTTTGCACATTACTCATTCTTTTTCAGTTGTTTTAGTAATAAAAAGGGTTCGAAATGAGTTTTCTGCCTTTAATTCTTTGAAGAAGTGTTTGAAAGGCTCAAAAGCAGCCTTTTGTTCAAAAAAAAAATAAGTAAATATGTAGATATATTACTTAAATTAACAACATTTTAAAACTTTTAAAAAAATTTTTTCCCCCCTAATAATCAGTATTGGCATCGGCCCAATAAATCCATATTGGTCAGACCCTACTCTATAGGGTAACTTTTGATGCTGTGATGGGGGTAGGTGTCCGGCCAGAGCAGACAAAAGCAAATATTGTTGTATTTTCCGTAAATTTGATGCAGGCCAGGGATCATGTTGTCCACAGGGGGCGCCAAAACTGAGATAAACAGAAGAATCCTTTCAGAAGCTTTAATCTCTTTAGTTTAATGCAGAGAAGTTCTATTAATAGTGATGTTTTCTTGTCTTTTAGATTGCATAACAGCCAGCTCTAATTTCACAGAATTACTTCCCCAAATGTTGATTCTCAAAAGCCTCCCAGGATGAAGCCAAGTCCTGCGTCTTAATGCCTCTAAGATAAGATGCCAGGAACAACAAGGCGCTAATTATTTTGATGTCTTAACCAAGAACAGAACAGGGGATTTTTTTTATGTTATTTCCCAACAACTTCCTGCTTCCCAGAGGATCCTTTTGAAAACGGCGTCTGATAGATGACACCACCTAAACAAAGAGGCCACTATCACTGACACAGCACAGGACGTAGAAGAGCACGGGATCCACCGTGAGTATTTACATCTCGTTTTTCCACGCCTGTCTCGCCATCCATCACGTCCACCTCATATTGTTTGAAGGTTTTTGTATTTTCCAGTCTTCGCTGCCCCGAAGCCAATCACTAGGAAAATAAGACCCCTGCGACTGAAAGCGAGCCCGAGAGCCGGTTGACATTTTACAAAGAATTGATTGTTTTTACCAACTCAGTGAGAGGACACGCATATGTGAATTGCCGGGCGCAGCGTGTGAGGTCTTGTTTTCAAAGTGTCTCTCAAGTGTGAGTGCATACTCTTGTGAATTTACCTGGAGATTAAAGTATTTTTAGCAGCAGCCCCCCCCCTAAGTGCATCTCTGCAAAGTATTTCAAGCTGTGCTGCGCAAACATGAAAATGATGAGCTGTAACTTCTGCAGAGGATCAAAAATGTGCGTGTGTGTGTGTGTGTGTGTGCGTGGGTCTGTAAATGGCTTTCAGGAGACTTTTAATCGGAGACGTTGCCTCTCTCGTCTGGCGTTTATAGCAGAGTCGTAACTGCATTAGCCTCCGAGGCTGCTTGGAGGTCATCTTCTTACCAGGCGGAAAGATAAGAGGAAACCCCACAGCGAACACACAAACACACACAAAAAAGACCTGGTGACTGTCATCTAATTAGCTCCTGTCATTGTTCCCCCACAGGATCTCTAAATCGGGAAGGAAGATACACACCCTGTCCATTCTCTTTGTCCTTTAAACACACACTGACACGCACAATCTCCGGCCCTCTCGCCTTTGCTTAAACACATCCTCCCATGTGTCGTGCTCGCTGAAAATGAATACTCCTCTGCTGCACAATGGTGCGAGAACAATGCAAAGCTTCCACTGTGGTCCCAAGGAAGAAAATCGGACGATTTTTCCATGAGTAAGTAGAAACTCCTCGAAGATTTTAAAAAACGCTTTTCCTTCCTGATTGGCTAATGTGCTTTTCAAGGCGAGTTTCCACAACAGCTGTGGCAACAAAACGCCACTTAATGCTATAAATACACATGAATAAAGACGGGGAATACATACGGCTTTATTCATGTAATGTGACTCATATTTCAAAACGTCCAAATGTTCCATTACTGCGTGGAAAAAACCCACAAAAAACAGAAATTTCCTGGTTAGCCCCATCTGGAATACCAAACTTAAGTATTCCCTCATGTTCGAGATATGGCGCAAACCCTCACACAAATGGATCACTGACATGAAAATTTACTTCACCCCTCTCTCTCTCTCTCTCTCTCTCTCTCTCTCTCTCTCTCTCAGTCCTGAGGTAAGCCAGCTGCGCCCAACAGTCTGGAGGTATAGCAACAGGTCTGCAGGCCTGCTGATTTACTGCATTGCTAACATAGCTGAGGGGAGTAGAGCACAGAGGCGGCGGCGGCGAGTGAGCGCATGTGTGTGTGTCAGTGTGTGTGTGTGTGTGGAGAGGCGTTAAGCCCTCAGGAACACCTGTGGAAACAACAAACAGTGACAGGCACGTCCAGCCATCCCACACCATCCGGCTTAAATATATAACCTCTCAGCAGCCAGACACATCGAGCTCAAACAGAGACGACCAAGACCAATTTACACCGAAGTAACCTTAAACACTATCTACAGTGGTTGCTGTGGTTACCAAAACGTCTGCTGCTGCAATCATCTCCATCCTGCGATGTTAATTTGAAAGTTGTAAAGCCGTTAGATATGGCAATAAATGATTAACTGAATCATAATCTGCTGAGGAGACGCAGCACTACAATATGACTGTATTATAATGATGAACAGATTTATGCTGGAGCTCACAGATCTTTAACCATCTGTGAGTTTCACTGCGTGTAAAAAGTCTGCAGTTGTTAGAATGAGTTTGAAAATTCACGCATGAGAAAAACTGAACTTTCTTAGTCAACACAACTCGACACAACAGCAGACTGACAGTTTTTCAGTTCTGATTAGACACTAGTGTTGAGATGTCTGTCTGTCATGATAGCATGTACTGAGTCGGGGCCAGTACCAGATAAGCACATTAAACTATAATCCATAAACATAAGGTAACAACCGAGACCTAATGGTGCTGTGACAGCAACGTGATTGAGTTTGAGACAGTGAAAATACATATGGTATGTTGTATCTGAACAGGTTAGCTTACGAGCTAAAGTTACTTAGCACAGATGAAAGTTAAAACAAAGACATTTAGCAAACTGTTAAAGCACACAAACCATCGTCATATGAGAAATCCGACACTATGACTCTCCACAAGTTGTCCTTCAGGTCGTTATCTTTGTAATGTTTGTGTCTTTTATCAAAAAGCACTCTGTTCTCCGACACGTAAACAATCAGCCGGTCGGCCATGTTGGATATACCGGTGAATCTGACGTCGCAACAACACGAAATCTGATTGGTCAAAAGTGGACACACAGTATACGAAACTTTAGAGAAATCGACCGTTAAACGAAAAATAAATGCCGCAATATCACAGGACGGGAAAATGTCGCTGATGTGAACGCTTGTATTGACAGGATACGGGTTCGAAAAAAAAATTGACGTCCGAAATAATCGCAAAAAAAAAAACGGGCCCTGTGTGTAAGGATCTTTACTCTTCGAAGAGTTGCCAAGTTAAAAAAAGTAAAACAACTTTGCAATCTGTCATCTAACAACAAGAATGACAGCTAACTTTTCTTTTTGGGACTTCCTAGCTCTTCCTAGTGGGGAGCGCCAGTTCTTCCGAGTGAAAAAGTCAATTTCAAGCCCTGTTAGACACAGTCAACGGCCCCAAAACCCTTGAGCACAATAATACTTTGACAGTAAATGGAAATTTGAACATTTGAATCACCAAAAACCTGGTATTGCTCAGGAGATGTTTGCATTTTTATGCAGAATCTGTGAACGCAGGTTAGCAAGGCAGCTGGATTCATGTAATCCGAATAACTCACACTGTGAGGACCTTGATGGTTAAACCTCTCAGGTTGAAGGGTATGAACCATCATAATTATCGCCCCCGATTCATCCACATAAACAGCGCAGAAGCACTGATCTGCAGCTGACCGTCTACAGGTGAAAGAGAGGACACAGAGCCAAAAATACAAAGTGCTCCAAGGTCAGACATGGATAATGTCAGGTGCAACATCACACAGAGGGTCCCTCCCATGACTTCAGCGGACAGGAAGTCCATTAATCTCTCACAGGATTCCACTCTCCTCAAGTTTATACACTTTATCAACACGATCCGCTCAAGGCCGCCTCACATGTCAGCGAGATTCCAGTGTGATTCAATTTCCCCCCCCTGGAAACGAGGTAAGGCTTTAGTGAACCACGCCACTTCTCTTTCACTCCGTCAAGGATCTGGGCCTGCTGGGTACAATGGGGGTCTTTGTAGGAGGAGGAAGTAGGAACCTTTAGTCTGAGGAATGCCAGACATGCGACTCCAATTCGCTGAGCCCAGAAATGTGATCCTACGCAACAATGGCTGCCGACAGAGGGGGAGAAGGGGCACAGCTGAGTGTGGGCAGCAGAGGGGCTTACAAAGTGCGTGAAAGACTCCAAGAGTTGAGTCGTCCAGCATTAACATGGGAAACATGGTCTGGAAAGAATCTGGGTTTCTTTCAAACCAAACTCTTCGAATTTTCCCCCAAAACTTTCTCTCCTGTTTTCAAAGTGGGTCAACTTTTAGAGGAGCTGTTCAAATTCGGAGTAAACAACGAGAAACCTTTCCATGGAGTTCCCAGAGATAAACATTATCAGATGAGATCTCTGGGGTCTAATGAAAGGGCATGTTTGGCAGTCCTGAAGAAAATAAAACTTATATTACTCTGAGCTTTTGAGAGAAAGCACGACAACGCTCTCAACTCAGGCTAGTTGGACGAAATCGCATTGAGAGTTTGTCACGCATCTGGAAGCTTGGTTTGTTGCACAACAACAGTTCAACATCTTAAAATGCTGTACCTACCCCCCACCCCCACCCCACATGCTGGTTCCAGGCATCAAAAGCTACACTATTAAAATTACCCATCATGCAGTTGATGGTAGGCCTGGGCAATTTGGCAAAAAAAAAAAATGATTACGATACATTTTGTTGTATCGTCCAATCTCGATTATTATCACGATTTTTTTAAACTGCCAGTTTTAAAGCATCTGTGCTAAAAACTAAAGAAACTAGAGATTAGTTCAACGTTTTATTAACATACGAAGTAAATAAAGAATAAAATACACTTAGAAAAATATAAAAACCATTTTAACTCAACAATACAACAAATTTACTTCTTCAAATCATTAAACAGATCTGTTGTGTTGACGGTTTTTGAGGGCGAGGACCACCGACATACCTTACACATGAACTTAATTACTCGACGTCACTTTGGAGATACCCGAACCACCGCCACACAACCGACATTGAATAACTTCTCAACAATAACATCTTCGGAGGACGACTCAAAGTCACGGCTCCACGTTCGGTCATTCTGTTAACTTCCCCCTGTTTACTTCTCCGGTAACTTACAGAAGTGAGCAGGAAAAGCTTGACTCTGATTGGCTGTTGTTTGTTTGATCAAGTAAATATGCTCACAGCTGATCACCGTCATTAAATTGAAATTCATCACGATCATATAATCGCCCAGTCCTCGTTGATGGTCTTGTTTGCTTTAGGTATCACAAAAAGCCTCCAGTATGAGTTTTATTCTGTTTCGTAGATGTCAAAAAACTGCTCACAGGAGCTTTAATCTAAAAATCGTCCAATGTGCTGTGTTATAGCGCTGTTAATTAGCTGCCTCAGGGTTGAGAACTGGTGGAAAAGCAATTCAGAGTCATCACTTTACGCTTGAGGAAAGTTTGACTGGTGGTTTTATGGTAATTAACCACAAACTTAAAGAAATAAATCGTCAGGGAAAGGAGGGGAGGCTTAACTAAACAGAAAAGATCAAGAAAGTTCCTCCTTGGCCCTAGATTCCCCTCTCACTATTTGCTCCTTTCAACCCAGGAAATGAGGGAAGGCCTGGGGCACACAGGTGCCGAGCCACAGGGGTTGTTCTATTTACCCTCTCTGTCTCCCTTTTCTCCTGTTTGACTCCATCGCAAACACCTTTGCAGCTCGCTCAGACAGACAGACAGACAGACAGAGGACGTAAACCACTTCCTCTGCTGCAGAAAAAGGAGTGGGATGCATCAAAGGCTGCGCCTCAGCCCCGACAGGCCCCACCCTGAGTCCCGGGAAGCAGAGCCAGCGCAGACGAGCAGGGTGGGGGGACAAATGGAAAGCAATGGGAGAGGCAGGCATTTACCTTAATGACCTGAATTACACCCATCACCCTCCTTTTTAGCACACACACAAACACACACACACACACTAGGCTGCTCATTAGGCCAATCAGCCCTGCTGCAGAACAAAGACCACCACGGTGAGTGTTTGGGAGGAAGCTGTGTTTGTCTTTAACTCTGCGTCCTGGGCTTTGTCAGAGTGCATGCTGGGGTCACACACACACACACACACAGAAACACACACACCTCAGGAGATAAGAGATCGATTGGATCGCCTATGGCCGATGGGTGTCTCTACAAAGAGACCAGTCAAGCCGAAAGCTGTATCAATCTGCAAACAGGGGTGAGCATGCCTGTGTGTCGGATTGGCTGTGGGGTGGGGGGTTTAAAGAGAGCTGGGGGGGTGGGGGGGGAGTAGAGGGGTCTGGCTGCATCTCAGACCCACTGAACTAAGAGAAACCGCGTCCCCCACCTCCCACTCCTTGCTGTTTTATGAAGCAGAGACAAAAAGAAATATGGCTCCAGGCGGCCGGCCAACACAGTGCAATAAAACAAAATTCTCACTCTGGCTGGCTTTCATTTCTTCGCCTTCCCATTTCTACAAAACACGCACATACACTCACACACTGTAGGGGTTGAAGAATCTGAAATTTGAGATCTTTGTTTTGCTTGCTCTGCCTGGAAATGAGGATAATTCGCAAATGCTTTTATGTTTCAAGGCCAAAATGGGACTTTTTGACTCCAAACGTGAAACTAGTTTTTGGTTTTTGTTTCTGGGAAGGCTAAATGTTTCCACCAGTGTCCACTTTTAAAAAGTTTCTCTGGAATTCCACGACCGGAGACCCGCAACAGCTGGCTGTCGGTTTGTCCCCTCCCATTCCCACCCCACACACACACACACACACACACACAACACATGCTCGCACACACTCACCATACGCCTCACTCACGCCTGACTGCTGTGCTATTCACCACTCGGGCATTGATGGATGGGAAATTTGGGTTTGTTTACCCACCCGAGCACGCATCTGTGTGCACACGCTCGTGAAAAAGTAGGGGACACAGCAGCTGGTTCGAACTCTAAACACAAAGTCCAAGAAACGAGTGATAAAAAGTGGAGTTAGTACACATGTTGCTCAACAAACTCCCCCTGAAAAAGAAAAAAAAAAGCCAACTGGGAGAATTTCAAAGTGTGCTCGCCAGATGTGAGAACATTCTCCCTCATTTTCCTCCTCTTTCTTTTTCTGCTTTAGCTTTTCTTAACTGGAAAAAATTCATTCATCTCACTTGACGACAATTTTTAATCCTGCCACCGAGGAAAAAGGTGAGCAATTTCCAATCCTCGGAGAAACGTGCCAGGCTTGTGAAACCCCCCCTGAAAAGGATTAACCCGGCTTTATTGATTAAAAATGGGTCAGATTAATTTTCATTAATCAAAAAATTCCAAGCTTAGGCCTCCCTACATGTCAGGAATGAAAAAACCTCAGAGTAAATGAGCGTTTTCTGAAGATAGGTGATATTTAACCATTAAAATGTTATAAGAGAACAGATTGCATGTCCAGAAGGGTCACAGTGGGTCTGTTTGAGTGACCTGCGTGTGTGGACATGTGCAGACATTTCACCTGAGTGGGCAACACATGAAGTATGAGGCAAAGAAAAGGGCGTGTTTACCTGAGGTGTCCCACAAACTGAGCTCAATCCTCTGTGTGTCGATTTCAAAACTGGCTGTGTAGTTCTCAAAGACCGTGGGGACATAGCTCTGCAGGAGACACGGAGAAAACACACACAGTGAATAGTGTTTCCACTACAAAATGACATGCAACTTTATGTGGGAATTCATTACAACATAACCATGAGAGTGACAGTGTATGTCCTTCATCAACCTATCTGTCACATACACCTGGATTAACGCGCGAGGATTGGTTGCCATGGCACTACGGTAATGAAACCAGGTTAATTATCATCCTCCCCCTGAGTGTGCGGGGTTTGCGGGGTCTCACCTCTGGGAAACAGTCCTTGGCGAACACGTGAAGCAGGGCAGTCTTCCCGCACTGGCTGTCTCCCACCACCACTATCTTACACTTCACACTCTGACTGGGATCCATGCCGGATTTCAGAGATAATTTCTGACACGAGCGTCTCTCCTTCATTGATTTCAGTCGGAAGAAAGAGTGGAAAAAATACAGTCCAGTCCGGTCTGAGTGGGGGGACGTCGAGATGGAAAAGGGGACAGATGCGGTGCTTCCTAAAAGTGTGGTTTTCTCGCTTGCTTATCCGGGTGTCTCCGCCTGCTCTGAGCCGGTAAATGCCATTTGCCTGTATTTATAACGACGCAGGAGCCAATAGCAGTCGTCCGGACGAGGCTCGCCCCTCCCGCGAGCCTCCACACACGAGCCTGCTGGGCCCTGCCTCCACGATGGCGCCCCCGTTAGGACTACAGTGACCACAACTTTGAAAACACAACAGAGAAGTTAAACATTTAAAATACAAAAAAAGTACAAGCAAATATTGCCTCTTAAAGTCCAAATCCATCTTTTTTCAATAAGGTAAAATCTAAAAATATAAACTCTAGGGCAGGATTTTTTAACTTTGGGACAAAATGACCCAGAACTAAGGTCGCTTTCACACCTGACCGAGTGGACTCGGTTCGATTGGGGAGCTTTAAGTCTCAACATTGTTGCATTTATAACTTGTTTCGGTTCTGCTTTCACTCTGTGATTTATAAAGCGCACCGAACTTTCCGAGCAGCATCACGTGGTTGAAAGGGGCGCTCATCAATTGGACAAAGTAGGAGGGGTATGTAACCTCACAGATTACAAACAGGGGTGAACTAGCCGTCTTGCATCGTGCTTCGTCACATTATTTTATGGAATGCTACAACGTTAGTGAACGCAACTGTTCCTATAATGCTATCGTAGCTTGTCAGGGATTGATCCTGTTATTTTGACGTTCTAACATGTGACAACATATGAGCTCAGAGTTTAAGGACTGTGACTGTCGGTAGTTGTGGTTTGATTTTGTTTAAATACGCCAAATTGTGAATTTATGGGTTATTGTTGTTCAGACAATTGAGCTAAGCTAGCTAGCAACTGCTAACGTCAGCGGTCACTTGTTGCCATAGCAACAAGAGACGCCATGCTTCCTCTACCCAAGATGCACTGCGTATGCACTGCGTATAGCGTCATTACGTACATTTGGTCCTGTGTTTGGTCCGGTGAGCTTTCACACCTGCCCAAACGAAGCGGACTATCCAAGGAAATGAACTCTGGTCCGTTTCAAGCGGACCAAACAGCTCTGGTGTGAAAGTGACGTAAGATGTTCCACTAGTTTGTTTGCATAAAGAAAGAAACTAAAGCGGGGCACACACATAAGGATTTTTTAAATCTGAGGAGATTTTTTATCTGTTACAGACCACACACATGAAGATGAAAAACCACACATTGAACAGTTTTGATCGTCCTCTGTGTGGTGTGCTCCGATAATCTCAACACAGCACAAAACACACAAAACGAGTCTGTTCCAACACCGATCTAGAATCTAGTCCTCCAAGACAGAAATCTCATGTGATAAAACGTGATCTAACAAAAGTGAAGAAGAAGAAGAAACATAGCAACAATCGGGAAACACAAGACGCAACATGGAAGAGCACACACAAGAGGAGCGAATGATGGTGGTTTTGACAGAAGAATCCTGTACTAAATCCCGTACTCCCGTAGGACATGCTTTATTTTTATTCGCTTTATTTGGTCTCTTGTTCCTCAGTCAGCTCGCTTCTTGATTGGCTACATTCTGTTTCACGCGACAATTCACATTGTCTGCTGTGTGTTGTATCGCCGCCGAATTGTTTACCTCCGTTCCTGGACTATGCCACTTTATCCTAGTTGTAGAAGTCCTGCAAACGTTGTGTTTGCTGGTAGTCTGTTGGCTTCTACAGTAGCCCCGATGCTTTTCACTTTTACGTTGACTGGGTTTCATTTGTAATTATCTGAAGTATTTATCAGCATTTCATTTGAATTTAATTGAAACAATAGGAATAAGCAGGACCGTCTGTTTGTGGGCGGGGCTTGCTGGAGCAGAGAGGGAGGGGAGAGGAGGAGCTGAGGGGAAAACTGGTTGGGAGGGGTAGAGTTTACATTCAAGATTTCTCCCCAAAACGGGCACTTCCTACCCCACCTTTAATTAAAATGCAGCCAAAAGAAAATTGTTATTATCATGTTTATTTTTTATGTTTATTTTACTACAGCTAAAAGCTTCTTGGCTTTTCTGGGAAATGACCCTAAACTTAGCAGTCCTACAAAAAGCCAGTAAAACATTCAGACCCTTGTTAGTTTTTTTTTGTTGCACAGAAGAAAACCTCATGGCTAATAAGCAAGCGAGTAGCAGGCTTAAATTGGATGCAGCTGAAAGAAAAAGTAAAAAAGAGTACAAATTTAGTTTAGGGATGGGCTGATTTTTGCTGCTCCTACAAACAAAGTTCACCTCAGACCTTTGATCAGCGCTCTTGGAATTAACATAAGGTCAAATCTGATCATTAAGTCCCGCAGCAAGGCACTTTTTTTTCTTTTTTAAGTCATCAGTTTTTATCTTTTGTCCACATTTCAGGGAATGAGCCCTCAGGCGTGTTCAGTTCAGGAGGTATTGATTGAGTCGGTTGTTTTCTTTTCTGCAGAATAGAAAACTAATAAACCCGGTGAACTTGGTATCAGGTGCTGCTTTAATCCAGCGAGCGCCTTTCCACTGAGGATTCCCTCATTATCTGTGAATAATACACATACTTGTTGTGACACACACTGCCAGAAAAAGCACATTAGCTGTCATCCGGGTCCGTGTGAGGAGACACACTGAAATGGATAAAATAAAAAAGGAATTTCCCTGCGGGCTTGATAATGCACCACAGACACATTTTTCTATCTTGTTCAGAGTGTGAGGCCCCCTTCTGTTTTCAAGGCCTCATCTCTCAGCCTTCAGGCTACTTCCCCCAACATGGCATCTTCGCTAATTTTTACAAAAATGGGAAAACAGCAGTGTTCTGCACCGGCTTGCTCCTCTGCAACAGAGTTATTGGACTCTCTGTGTTGCTGGCGGCATTTTTTTACAGTGAGACAGCTCCACCCTGCAGGCTGTGTGATGGGAGTCCCGTCTGTTGTGTGGGAGCTCTGCCTCCAGGACACAACACTGCCAGAAGAAAAGGGACAGGGGGATTTTGCACACTTTTCTGTCGCTCTCCTATTTGGCTGCCATATCTGTAACCATATGCATTTAACCTCATTCAAATTCTGTCTAAAGATTATGGAGATTTACCTGCATGAGGTGCAAAAACTGTGATTTTCCTCTTTTTTAAAACTCTTTTCTTGTTATTTTATGCCTCATAGCTAATCTGCTATCCTTCCTCTAATCTGTTATTTCTCCCTGTCTACACAAATCCTGCCTGCAGAGATCATAAGGGCAAAAGCAAAGGAGACACTGAGCAAAACCACATTAACTGAGGTGTTTACACACGTTGCCCCCGTGCCCTTCGCCTGTTTTTATTCAGGCTGACTGCTTTTGTGTGCATGTATGTGCGCTGCGCTGTGTTATAGCCTGCAGCGTTGCCAGTAACTCCTGTGCAGCCACACATTTGGGCCAAAGAGAGACATTGCAGATTGACGTCATGCAGAAACAACTAAAAGCGAAAATGTACATTAAAGATACAGTAATGCTTTAAGTCTTGACCTGTATCTGTTGAGTGTACAGTTCAGCTGACAAGAAAGTGGGTCTGCATGTTGAAAGAAATGGTGGACAAATGTGTGCCTAAATACTGTACATGGTTCCCAGAATAGAAATGAGGGTACCACCTGTTTCTGGTCACATGGCACTCTCAACATCCTGTGTGTCTTGTTAGTTTCCATCAGGGCTTGCAATAAACACCAACTACTCCTGATCTGAGCTTATTTACTCATAACCTTTTACAAATCTATATTTTTAAGTGCATATTTGTCTGTGTTTGCTTTTAAGTGGAGCCGACAAATCCATTTTGAATCCCACGGGACTGGAATACTGGAAATAACATTGGTTTACAAAATATGTTGCAAGGCATCAGCTGTGTTTCCCAGATGATCTTGAGGTATCCTTGACTACAACGTCAATAAGCTCAAATGCTGTATGTGTCCTTTGGGACCCCCTTTAGCTCACCGTCTGTCACATATAATGAAATAAAAAAAGCAATGTCCTTGGAAAGTAAGGTGAATGTAGGTAACTGTATGTATTGAACAAAAGTCAATCAAATTTAAGCTTTTGTCTGAAGTAAAAAATCACTATTATTTGGTTAAATAAAATAAAAAAACAGGATTTCTGGCTTTCTTAAAACTCTAAGACTGTATAATTGAAATGAAAGTTAATATGAGTATTAACTTAAGATATACAACTAAATCACTTCCATATACCAATACCAACACAGATTTACTAAAAAAGAATCTAGCGAACGCCAGTGTTTGCCCCCAAAGGTGTCCTATCACTCATCCCTGATTGGTCTTGAGGACTCGGCCGATTAACCAATCAGCATCTGGTCCCCGCATAGTCAACATCCTCCCACAGTCACACTGACTGACACTAGCAAAACAAGGTAAACGGGGCAACGCATGTTGTACACAGCCAGAGTGGGGCGCGGCCTTAACACTAAATGATATTCGAACAATAGTATACTGCTATATTTAAAAGAAGTCAATGGAAGCATATGGAGTTTCTGACATATTTGCGATGATTTTTTACAATAACAATGATCAACAAAACCAAAGGAAAGTAAACTCCAAAATTGGATGACCCCTGTGCAAATGCTCAAATGAAATTTTGTAAATATGATGGGAGGCTTGTGACAAGAATTTGAATCCTTTGTTAAATCAAAATTAAACTTTGACTAGCAAAACCTTTAGGACAAGCACTGGATTAAAAAAACAAAACAAAACAAAACAAAAACAAACAAACAAAACTGGATGAGTTGCCCAAAGTGATCCCTAGCATATTTAGTCGTATGATGGAAGTCAATGGGTGTTTACAGTGATGAAGTGTTTGACTCAATTTTTATCAATGCAGTTTATTTAGAGCATTCTGAAACATTTAACCACAGAAGACTCAAACAACATGTGATTATTGCTTTAATTAAAACTGTAGAAAAAAAAATGATGAAAGTCAATAGAAGCCAAAAAAAGCAACAGACTGCATGACACTATTGTGGTGCTAACTGTGGAAAATTAAAATTGACACATTATGGGCTTTAAACTAAATGACCATCCAACAATTGTTCATTATAACTCTATGAACATAATGGAAGTTAATGGAGGCATATAGAATTGTAGCTCAACACTTTGTCAATACAGGAAGATAATAAACCTTCCAAAAACTGTTTTTCTGTAAATGTATGAAAATTATGAAAGTCAATGGTTACTTGTGGCACACATTTCCTTTGTCTGAATTTTTGGTACGACAAAAAAAATGTCAAGACTATATACGTTTCAATAGTACACAATTAGCAGCTTGAATAGAAGGTACTGATAAAATGAAAACCAACTTGTGATTTTAATAGAGGTCAACAGCGGCATAGTCTGTTCAAGCCATTGACTGTGAAATTTAGATTTTACTTTAAAAAATCTACAAATGGTGAGTGAGACAGATTTTCTATATAGGTGTTATAAGCAAAACCACCAAAAAACTGAGCAACCATATAATGCTGTATGACTATGGTGGAAGTCAATGGAAACATCATTGAATTTATTCCATAGTCCAGCTATTTTGGATGCAAATTAGTTAAAAAGGGATCAAAAATGATCAGAAATGAATGGTACCCTTTAGTCATATATTGTATTTCCCAGAACATAAAAAAAGTACAGTTTGAGATAAAAACTGGATGACTTTCCCATAATGCTTTATTACACAACTAGGTCAGCACATGTACCTTGCAGGATTTTTAAAGCAGTTCACCGTTGTTTAATGTGTTGGCACATTAAATTCTGGGAAAGAACAAGGGCTCCTGACATTAAATTAGAACATCTTTACAACTATGAATAATTTGAGTAAATCACCGAAAACACCTCAGAGCAGCAATACTGTAGTTTCCAGTCACATACTCCCATCTGTGCGTGTTTTGTTAGGCAAGAATCCCTCGCTCTCTGAAACATCCAGCACACTTAGGTCTGGATTACGCACCAGTGCACATAACTCTTCCTATGTGTGTGTGTGTGTGTGTGTGTGTGTGTGTGTGTGTGTGTGTGTGAAAGCCTCCTAGAGCGACCAATGAGGGAGATTTACTGTATTACTGCAATGATTCCCCAAAATGTGAAGCAATGACGGGTAATAGTTAAAAAATTCCTAATTTGAAAACCTGTTTCTCATTTTCCAAACAGGTCACAACCTGATTCAGAATGAGTAACAGATAAGAGAATTGAACCCAGGTCCAAGTGAAGTGGTTTGCTTATAGCCAGTGGGCTAGCAGTGCTGGAGGTGTGTGACGAGTCTAGGTCACTGGGTCGCTCTTCCTCTGCTCTGACAGCATGCTACCCCAGAGTTATCTCTGTCGATGTGCATTCAATCAGCGGACCGCTGACATTTACTGTTCGGGCAAACGCAGCACACTCTCGCTCGCTGCAGTTTGAGAGGGGTTTCCTCGACGGTTAGTCACCGTGACTGGGAAATTAAGGGCAGCTTCAAAACAATTCAGGGAGAAAAAAACGATGCTATGTCTCTTTTGTTCTTTATTTAAAAAAACAACAACTGCAAGCACCATGGGACGTACTCTTTTATATTTCTGCTGCCTTATTTTTAATCTCTTTACTGCACTGTTCACTGCCGCACAGCTCTAACTATTATGTTAAAAGCTCCAAATCATCCTTAATAAGAAGAAATTTCCCAGTAAAATAAAATCATTTTTGTTCACTACATTGTGTCAGAGCGTTGTTTGACCTGTACCTGTGTTTCACTCGCCTGACTCGCCTTTTTGGCTGATAGCAGCAGGGTGCTGCAGTCTGAACACACTCTGGAAGTGTAGTTATTGTACTCCAGCTGAGCCAGAGCGTGCCACCTGTCTCGGTGCATATTAAAGCTCTCTTCAATGTATGGCACAGAAATACTTACTTGCTTCACCCATCAATACGGAAATTACTGCAGGTGCAACCCTTACAAAGAAATGGTTTAACTAGAGCTTTCTGTGTCTATTTAAAGATCCTGTGAGGAGTTTTTTAAAGTCCTTAAAGCACTTGTGCTTTTTTATGATACACAAAAGCAAACAAGACCATCAGTAACAAGGTTGATGATTTTTATGTTGCTAGTTTTGATGAATGAGCTGAAGAAAATAGCCTTTTTTAGGTTTAATGCATTCAATATCTACAATAAATGATTTATCAAAAGCCACTAAGATGGCTTAGGGCAGTGGTTCTCAAGTCCAGTCCTCGAAGCCCACTGTCCTGCATGTTTTGGATGTTTCCCTGCTCCAACACACCTGATTCAAATGATCAGCTCGTTAGTAAGCCATTCCAGAGCTTGATAACGAGCTGATCATTTGAATCAGGTGTGTTGGAGCAGGGAAACATCCAAAACATGCAGGACAGTGAGCCTCGAGGACTGGATTTGAGAACCACTGGCTTAGGGGGATAAAATAAGCAAAGACCACTTTGTCCACAGGGGGCGCTAATTTTGAAACAAGCTGAAAGTTCCTTACTGGAGCTTTAAAGTAAGAACATAGTGAAATTTGACCAAATAATGAGAAGCTTACATCCTGGTATTTATTCTGTGTTGCATTTATACATATTTTTTTAATGATTTTTCAATTTCCACCCCTACAGAGCTCAGATTATAACTCGAACCCTGGATATCGGGACTACTACAACAGTTTGGACAAACTAAAATGGAAAAACAGCAAATTTTAACACACATTCTCATAAATCTTTCATTTTTTAAAATTAGTTTTCACTTCCCATCAGGAGAGGACACTTATATCGACCCCAGGCACAACCCTCGAACACCATGGATACAATAAAGCCATCATCCTCACTGATGTGATATTTTCCAGAGAAAGAGTAAACCTCCTGGGGCTTTACAGAGACAACATACACTCTCCCCGCCCGCCATGACAGCTCTCTGGTATAGCGTACTGACAGGTTCTTTCAGAAAGAGCTGCTAGTGTCACAGGCTATGAAGCTTGTCTATGACTCACAGGGACATTCCCTGACAACCCGGGACATCTGGTCACCATATGCTGATGGGGTCAAACCTATATTTCCAGGGCTGTCTTCAGATGACTCCTCTTGGCGGGGAACAAAACAAAACGGACATTTTAGATGTTGTATGATAAATCTGTTCTGCTTTTGAGATATCAATGTCGAAAATCTGGGAATGTATCTTGCTGCTATTTGACAGCAGGGCTTCAAGGAACAGTTAGCTTTGAGCTGGAGAGTGATTGACCAAGATGACCTATTGAAGAAAAGAACTGTTCCTGAGCACGTCAGTCTGTTTCAGGGTGTCTGTAATAGGAAATTGAGAGCGTTTAACCCTTGAACCATACTGTACACTCTGCTTCATCCAGTGTAGCGTCATGAACAACAATCAAAGCCACATCTTGGACGCCCCTGGTGAAGAAAAATGGCGGTGCTGCAAGAAGGAAAACAGAAGAAAAGCTTGTTTATGATGTGCGATTGAGGTACCACCAGGGGCGGACTGGGACCATAAGTCAGGCCAGACGTTTGACTCCACCCAGGCCAGGCCAATACACACTGACACGGAAATGCCGGCACTGGCGAAAAGTTTTGGACATTTAAAGCCAGATTTAGTGAATATAATGCTAATGTGAAGAATTCAACATTGGCCACATAACTGCAAATTTTATATGAAGTAAAAACGAAAATATGTCTCTGCGCGCAACACTAGCATCGTAGCCGTCTCGGTGTTGGTCGGCGATCTTATCAAACCCAAAACAATCACATCTTAGAGCGACAGCATGAAAAAAACTGACGTTGCTTCAGAGGGAGGAGGAGAAAGAACCACGATCAGCTCGGGAGTGGAGCGGACAACGATGCTCGAACAGCGCATCTGCAGCTGATCACCTCACAGCTCTACTTCCGGTCGCACCAGCTACCTGACATAAATTAATAGAGTATTAGTAGAG